TCTGTCTCTCTGTCTGTCTCTCTCTCTCTTTCTCTCTCTGTCTGTCTCTCTCTCTCTTTCTCTCTCTGTCTTACCCTTCCCTGTTTCTCTCGTTTCTCACACTATCCATCCTCATTTCCCTCTCCCGTTCTAATCCCTCCTCTCCCTCTGTCCGTCCTCTCTTCTCTTTTGTTCTCTCTCTCCCTCTCCCTCTCTCTCTCCCCCCCTCTCTCTCTCCTCAACACCACCAGGGGTGTTGTTCAGTATTGAGGTCACGTCTACCTACTTTGCGGTGAGGAATTATTGGCGGGGATATTTTGCCGCCACATTCAGCGCCTTCATATTCAGGGTGCTCTCTGTTTGGAACAAGGATGCTGGTAAGAAGCAGAACACACACACACACACACACACACTGCTGTAAAAGACTGCTGAGCTGGCATTTTATCTAAAGTAGCTGAATATGACAGCTAAGTAATATTTGCTTCTTTAGATAAACCAGAAATGTAGAATTAAATAATCGCATCTAAATCCCTGCACCCTATTCTCTGCCTTTATTACTTTATTATGTCAACTTCTTACAATTTAGAAGACTGTTTTCTGTCTTACTCTATATTCAAACAATTTCACAACTCTCACTTAACCAGACAATCATCGAATATTCATCTTCCCAAACAACTTCCGCTGCCCCCAGACTGCATAAGTTACGCAGGTTTAAAATCCTCCAAAACATCCTCTGTTTTGACATTGTGAATATAATATCATTCCTAAAAGTATTTTTTCTCTTCCTGCACACCATCGTCCATGATATTTGTATGTCCTGGCTTTGATTTTGTGTTGTGCTGATCAATGAACTTTCCTTTTTCTCTCAGTCACAATCACAGCTCTCTTCAAAACTAACTTCCGGATGGATTTCCCCTTTGACCTGCAGGAGCTGCCTGCATTTGCAATAATAGGGTGAATACAAATAAGTGTGTGTGCAATGATACTGTGTGTCTCCGCTTTTTTAATATATATGGTCATGTATTCTCCTCAATACATATTGTTGCCCATACATGGTTGTTGTGCAGGAGGAGCAGTATGAGCACGTTTTATTTTGTCATGTTAGGATCTCGTGTGGCTTCCTGGGGGCGTTCTTCGTCTACCTGAACAGACAGGTGGTCCTCTTCATGAGGAGACCGACAGCACTCACACGCTTCCTAACCAAACAGTGAGATCCCAACACACACACACACACACACACACACACATGTACACACACGCAGGGCCATGTTCCCATGAACTCAAATCATTTGCGCGTTCAAATCCAATTCCTCTTAATGAATCTCAGCTCTCTCCGAACTCATCAGTCTCACAACACTGGCCAGGACAGCAGCAAAGCCTTAACAACCTTTCAGCCAGTTATTCAGTCAATGTGGAGATTCACTTATCCTCCGAGACTCATCAGTCAGGGAACATTAGTCTCCGCCATTAGAAAGAGGCGAGCAGCAGCGCCAGGAGAGCCATACATCTGTTGGTACAGACTCGTACAGAGTTATTTCTGTAGCAAGCATCACTTATTTTGCCATGTTGTTATTGTCTAAGAATACATTCCTGTTTCTGTGTGTGTGCGTGCGTGCGTGCATGTGCGTGTGTGTGTGTGTGTGTGTGTGTGTGCGTTCCCAGTCGATTGATCTATCCAGGTGCAGTGACACTGATCATCGCCACCTTAACGTTTCCACCTGGATTTGGACAGTTTATGGCTGGAGAGGTTAGACTCACTCAATCTCACACTCTCTGACTTCTTTCTGATGTGTGTTCATTAATATTTATGATGTTGAAGAAGATGGTCAGTGGGGTCTAGATTGTGTGGTTTTCTTATGTTTTGCTGGAAGGAAAGAAAAGCCGTAATGACGGGAATTTGATGAAAGGGGAACTCCACCGATTTTACACATCAAAGTCTGTTTACAGGTCTCGGGGAGTATTATGTGAACAAAGCTGTATAAAGATTTTTGTGGCTCCACAGGGAGCTGCAAGTATCCTGATGAATCACCTCAAGTGAAGTAACTTGATTAGGGCTGAAAACTACAATACTGAACATTTTAAAATAAACTGGGGGTGTGGAGTTAGAAAGAAGTCCTCATCTCTGCTTAAACCTGAATATTTGCCACAAGCATTTTCTGTTTCAATATGTGAACCCTGATTGAATCATTAAAATTTGTTGATCAGTTTGTCATGCCGGCCTTTTGCCTGATTTAGACTTGGTGGAGGTTAAACATTGCCTTTTTTCAGTTTCGATAAAGTTTTGTTTCTGTGTGTCTGTCCCGTCTGACAGTTGATGCCCAGAGAGTGTATCAACTCCCTGTTTGATAATTTCACCTGGACCAAAATCTCAGGATCTGCTCCGCCCGGCCTGGGTCGCTCCTCTGCATGGATTCATCCTCATGTCAGCGTCTTTGTCATCCTCCTCCTCTTCCTCGTCATGAAGGTATCTCTCCCTCTTGCTGTGTACTTGTGTAGCATTCATATATATATATATATATATAGATATATATATATATAGATAGATAGATAGATAATGTGTGTATATATATATATATGTGTGTGTGTGTGAAACCTCTGGGACTGGTCTTGATCCGTCGTTGATCCGGTATTTGTGTTGCAGTTCTGGATGTCAGCACTTTCCACCACGATGCCCATCCCCTCCGGTGCCTTTATGCCAGTGTTCATATTAGGTAAGAGGATTTTGTAATGCAAGCGCAGTGTCTCCTGCTGAGTTTCAGTTCAATTCGTTTTTACCAGCGTGTCTTATCTCTCTCCTCAAGGAGCTGCTTTCGGCCGCCTCGTGGGGGAGATCATGGCCACTCTTTTCCCAAATGGAATCCTGTTTGATGGGATAGTCTACCGCATCCTGCCGGGAGGTTACGCCGTCATTGGTCAGTCTACTAACCTCAGTGCTGTGCTCAGGATCCCATAGGACTTATAGAAGAGACTTTAAGAAGACTAAGATTTGAGAACATTTGGTGAACTACTGACTTCGAAAGTGCTTGATTTCTTTCTTTCAGTTAAAAAATGTGGATGTAGCAGCAGTTTAGAAACTGTTTTACCATTTTCACTAGACTTTGTTGCATCTTTGGTCAAAGTGAGGCCTCTAAATTGTCAACATTTTTAATGTGACTTTTGAAATTAAACCTTTAAAGTCATTGAAATTCTTGAATTGAATGTCTAAACCACTGTTGTAACCCTGCCCTATGTGTTTCACTGCACAAGTGAATGGATTTCACCTTAAATGAAGGCTATTATGAGTACATTATTGTACTCTCTCTTTACAATTCTTATTTTACCTTATTATAAGACAATTCAAGGCCAAAGTGGATGTGTTCAGGTACAGTTACAGAGGAATCAGATGGAGGAACGATAATAGAGGAATGACTCTCTCAAATATCCTGTCCTTTGCACTCGACCAGGTGCGGCAGCGATGACGGGAGCCGTCACACACACGGTTTCCACTGCAGTAATCTGCTTTGAGCTGACTGGTCAAATCTCTCACATCCTACCGATGATGGTGGCTGTCATCCTAGCAAACATGGTGGCCCAAGGTCTGCAGCCTTCTCTCTACGACTCCATCATCCAGGTGAAGAAGCTGCCCTACCTGCCTGAGATGGCCCTCGGACACATCGGGTAAAGCTAAAACTGCGAGAAAACTTCTTCGGGTGTTTATTTTTTCCATGTAGCTGTTACTGTCGGACAAAGGGTATTTATTGTAGTATCTCTGCATCCCCAGCAAGTATAACATCTTTGTGGAGGACATCATGGTGCGCAAAGTTAAGTTCCTGTCTTCTCACTCCACCTATCGGGAACTGAACGATCTGCTTGAGACCACATCTCTGAAAACTATCCCCCTGGTCGACTCTAAAGGTAGGGTGACTTACATCATCATACTGGGCCTTAAAGCTTCTATCTTGTGCTGTAGATGCTTTGTGTGAAAGAAAAAGTTTGATATTTGGGGAAATTTACTTATTTATCGATACCACAGCTAAACCCTGCCGGCTGCAGGTTCTTATTGAGTTTACAAACATCAGAATAGTATCACTGATAAGCAAATAAGTGTATTTCCCAAAATGTTGAACTTCTCCTGTAACACTTCTCTCTGCAGAATCCATGATTCTTCTGGGCTCCATCGAGAGGACGGAGCTTCAAGCCGTCTTCGACTGGTGGCTCTCACCAGAGAGGCGAGTCTTTGAAAGAGGTCAGAGCTCCCCAGGCCAGGGCTCTAAAGTCAGCTGGGAGTCCTTCACCTTTGTAGACGAGGACGGGGGAGAGGAGAGCGCAGACAAGGTGGGAAAAAAACAACAACCATAAATTAATTTACAAGAAGTGTATTTGGTAAAAAATGTATTTACCAACTGTGTCTGCAGACTGCTCCAGTCCAGGAAGAATGTAACGGGCCCATCCCATCCGCCAGAGCTCAGGAGCCCTCCACCAACCACACAGGTTCAGGTAACATGGCAGTTCCACTGCACATGAAAACCAGTCCGCCCATCAAATGTTGCTTCCTCTCTTGTCTGACTTGTGTTGCCATACCGTATCCTCAGACAAGCGCAAGCTGCCATCTGTCAGCAGGGCTCTTCAGAGACTCTTCTCCTCCACATCTTTGTCAGGCCAGATTGAAACTCAGGTAAAATCAACCTCACATACTATTTTTGACCCTTGAAGCTCAAAGGAGCGGCGCATCACTGATCTGCTGTCGAGTTGGCAGCGACGGCTCAGACGGAGTTATTAGTCCAACATGGCTCCTGGAGCCAACCTGATGTGATGGGAGGGGCATGACGTGATGCATACATAAAGGAGTTGACATGTTGTGCAGTGGGTGATGCCATGAAACTACCAGGGGTCATTTTTATCATCATCTGTGTAGTTTTTCAAACTGACTGCCCATCAATCTGTCCCTCGCTCTTTCTCCCCCCCTTCTTTGCTCAGGAGACCACGCCCCCTCCGCTGACGGACACCATGTCCCCAGAGGAGGTACTGTACCTTAATGATTCACCATGCACACAGCCAACAATGAGAAACCCAAACCATCCAAATCAATAATTAGAAACTCTGTATACTCTTAGTCCATCTCTCTTGTGATTGGCTGATGCAGATCAAAGCCTGGGTAGAGGAAGAGCTGGATAAACCAATCGATATGGAGCAGATACGTATAGACCCCTCCCCGTTTCAACTGGTGGAAAGGACTTCTCTCCACAAGGTGACCACAGCAACACCTGGGTGACATGTTTTTACATGTCAAAGTCATGACACTGATAATGCAATTACATATCACAGACAATTACCATTTCATATTTTAAAGCAGCATATTTTAAATAAATAGTTTGACATTTTGGGAAATACTCAAATGTACTTATACATCAGTTTAAATAAACATGAGTTGTAAAATCTTGTCTGTGAGTAAAAAGATATGCCATGTTTGGGCAACTGGATCTCCTGGATTATATTTCATTGTTTCACAACACATCAACCCAACAACGCAGCCCCCAGCTGATAGGTGGATTTACCTTTGGACGGAGTCAACCTAGAAGTTTCCTATTTCAAGTCTTTATGCAAAGCTAACTTTCTCCTGGCTGTAGTTTCATATTAAGTATACAGGCATGGGAGTGTCTCAATCCTCTCATCAATCTCTCTGCAAGATTACAAATAAAAGTATCTCCCAAAAGGGCAAACTATTCCTTTAGAACACAAGTTCATTTTCACTTTTATACTTGTTTGTTTTTATTCTTAAACATGTTTAATTTCTTCTTTGTTCTGTTTGTACAACTCTGTTCCGACTTTCTTTTGCTCAACTGTTTAAAGGGGAACTCCACCAAATTTGTCATTGTCTATTTCAACCTGTGGAAACAGTTGTATAATGTCTTCTGTGGCTCTAAAGGGAGCTTTCAGAGTTTTCTCAGATTGAGTTTAGAGATAACTAAATGTGGTTTTAAAAACGTGGGCAGGGAGGGTCTTGATTAGGGATGCACCAATCCGACTTTTTCAGTCCCGATACAGATATCTGGGCTTTGTGTATCAGCCGATACCGAGTAATACCAGTGTTTAATTAATAAGCTGTAAGCCTCAGAAAAGACCAGGATCATTCTTCTATGGCACCATCAGGCTTACATTAAACATTGCTTTCCTAACTTTGTAAAAAAAAAAATAACAAATAAATACATAGATATAAAAGTACTGAATTGTTATTTATTAAGATAATGGTATCCTATACCCAATCTAGCTATTTGAGTCATTGTCAGATCGATATCCAATATTGATATTGGTGCATCTAGTCTTTATGAAAGATTAGCAAATGTGGGATCCAGGGATTCTGGAGCTTGTTCCATAGACAGTAAAAGTCAGGATGTCTCAGCCTCTGCTGCATCGAGTTTGAGCATTTTTAAAATTCTGTCTGTAGTGAATCACCCAACTTAGGGAGGTGGGATACTAAATTGCTGGAGTTTTTTTGTTTTTGTTTATGTCCATACGACCATAAAGCTTTGAATCTTGAATTTTATGCTTTGTTTCATGCTATATTTCTGTATCTATTTCCTTTATAACTTGCGGGGCAAATTGTGACAGAACACTGTCACACTGCAAAACATTTAACACTGACTGGATCATGTCCTCCTCTCCCTCATTACTCAGACCCACACTCTGTTCTCTCTGCTGGGTCTCAGTCACGCCTATGTCACCAGTATCGGAAAGCTGGTGGGTGTCGTGGCACTGAAAGAGGTAAAGTCATATTTTTTTCCTTCGTTTTTTCTTTGTGTGCATGTTTTTGTCGCCTCTCTTGGTTTGATCCTGTAATGCGGCATGACAGCGAGCTGTGATGATCTCATGTTGTGGGCAGTTGTTCTGTCACATGGTGCATCATGCTTTACACTCTGATTCATGCGGTTATTTCATTAACCGCCCTCAACTCATCTCCCCGGATGTTCGCTTTAGCGATCACTTCAACACATGTTTCTCTGCTATATGTGTTTCAACCTCTTTCTCTCTAACAGTTACAGAAAGCTATAGAGGGCTCAACTCGCAGTGGGGTGAAGCTTCGTCCCCCTCTGGCCAGCTTCAGAGACGCCAGCAGGAAAACCAAGAAGCACCAGCCTCCCTCATCCACCCCTTCCTCCCCCACTCGGGACAAAGACCTGTGGGGGGAGGGGAGCAGGAGGGAGGGAGAGCTGGGGAGGAAGGAGTCCAACGAGGATTCCAGAGGAAAGGCATCGTCTTCCAGGGGAGCTCCTGGGTGTGACACTGCTCCCTCCTCCCCCAGCAGCTCTGTCCACACAAGAGGAGCTGACGGGGATTCACAAGAGCCAGCATCCCCTTCTACCTCCTCCCCTACCTCACCTTCACCTCCTGCCTCACCTGTGTCACCCACCAGCCCTGCCCTCACACTATCCTCCCTGCAGGAGGACAGGGAGAGCGAGGAGTCCGATGAGCCCATATAGACTGGGTTCAAGAGAAAAGACTTTCATTTCACTCCTTCTCCCCCAGAGACAGAGCTGCTGTCTGGGTGGAGGAGTCGGGCTCACCTGCAGACCCTCAGACATTCAGCTCTCAGAGAGCAGGACGAGCTAGTGCACATAAAGCTCCTGAAACTTGTAGTACAGGATTTTTTTTTTCTACTCTTATAATTTCACTCTCAAAATCTCAGGGGGCTTCCTGTGTCTTTTGAACTGCAGACGGACAAACATGTTCAGTCGCACATATCACGAATGTTCAATGTCCATACATACATGTATCTTGGAAATGTTGATTGTAGCTCTGTCATATTTCAGTGTCTGTTCATTTAATCAAACGTTAACTGACAGCAATGAATTGTATGATAATGAAATAATATATTGATGAAGACTTAATTAATTTGACCTGGAGGTCAAAGAGATCATGCATTTAAAGTTTACTGATTAAGGTTGATTTTAATTATAACTTACAATTATCAGATATTTTCTGTATGCTAAATGTTCAAATCATTATTATCAATCTGTCATTTTTAAAGATAATAAATGTTAAAGTTGTCTACTAGCTTATTTTAATTATCTACAACAATAAAAATGTCCATTGGTAGGAAAACAGTCAAGGTAAAAACTCTGTGAGGCACAGCACACATGATTTGAGCTAAATGCTAAAGTCGGAATGGGTGTTAAGGTGTAACTATTATAGTTTACTGCGCTAGCATGCTAACATTTGTTAATATGCACTAATTACAACGTACAGGTCAGGAAGAGTGAGTTGGAATGCGAGTTTCGCAAGTATCTGCATTCAGACAAAAGAAAATCGCAGTCCCCTCATTCATTTAAATGGAGCCAACGCAGGAGCTCCAGCATAAATTGGAACCTGGCCCAACCAAGTGACTGCAACACACCGTTATCCTGCAAGGCTTTGTAGTGGCCAATCAAATACATGCAAGCACACGTTCCAGGTAGATTTGTTTTTACAATGAACGCTGTATTTCTAATGTTTAGCTCACACTCATTGAGACAAAAGATTAGCAACTGGCGTCTGATAAGCCTTCAAATTCACTTATGTGTTACTCAAAGGGTAGTATTTCATATCTCACCTGTGCATGAAGCAACAACCCCCAACAACGCAGCCCCTTGTGCTGTTTTAATGCAGGCTGCTTTTCAGTCAGAACGCCCACTTTGTCATAAACAACTTACATTTTTGACCTGATGGTGGCACTAAATGAAAAATTAGGAGATTACCAAAGTTCTTACAATTCATCCTGAAGGGGACATGAATGTGTGCCACAAATTTCATGACAATCCGTTCAATAGTTGTTGAGATATTTTAGTGTGGACTAAAGTGGTGGACCGACCAACAGACGGGCACAAACCACCTTCTCGAGTGGAAAAATCACTCTATCAGCCTTCCGGCATTCAGGCTTGAAAAGAGAATAGCTCTGAGCATGAACACGTGTTTGTGCTGTGAAGGTCAACAGTGTGTTTCAGTCTCTGATTTCTATGCGAGCTTGAACAAAGAAGCAGTTAGTCCCACAGAGGAGGCCTGTCTCTGAGAATTTGTCATTAATATTCTCCTGGCATAAAATCCCTGATTAGGACTGGAGAGAAATGTGTTTGGAAAAGCATGACGGGCTGGATTACACTGCTGCCACTTCCTTCGTGATTGCCGTTTTGTCTGACAAGCACCAACAAGCTGGCTTAGAGACACTGGCTGCCACCTGAAGTGGTTAAAAAAAAGACATTTCACATGTGTTAAGGGTCTGGAGAGAAAGAGGTGAACGTGTGATAATCTAATTATTTACACCCTGGAAAAGATATCCACACATGAGCACAAGAAATGCCATTTGTTGGTTTGTTTATTTGATCTTTCTCCACCAGAGGAAAAAAAGAGGAGACGGGTAAAGGAGCTGGAGGGGGTGTTGGAGGTTGTGTCGTGCAGGAGAAAGAAAGAGAAACAGGAAGAAACAGAGAGTCATTGACAGAAGAGGAGAGAGAGGGGGGAACCACGTCGAAGAACCATCCTGTGACAACCGTCCAACAAGCATGCATAGGTGTGAGTGTACACTGGTATCACAAGTCACTCTGCCGCATTTCAAACAAATTAATCCAGTTTTATACAGACTTTTACAGAAGCCATCCAATTTTTTTGTAGGATTTTTTACAGCGCTCACTTTTTTGCACACATTTCCAAATTATACATCTATGTCTGATTGCTTCAAATCCCCTTTGGTTGATGTGAAAACTTGTTATTTTTCCTCTTTTTTTCAGGCAGTGATTCTTCCAACAAGACAACTTACTGTACACTGACAGACAGACATACAGACAGACACAAATATACAGAACAGATACAAAGAGATAGAAGGAGAAAGGCAGAGGACAAGAAGCCGATTTTGAGCGTCATGCCTGCAGACAAATTACTGTAACTCTTGGAAGATGGCAGTAGAATTATATAAAAAGAAGAACTCAATTGCAAACCGGTCGGTTAACAAAGATGTGATCAGAAAACCTTAACATCCACAGAAATATATTTGGCTTCTTGTTTTTAGTTTATTCATTCATTGAGAATTTGCTAAACAAAAAAAGAGAGAAAAAAACCAATAAAACAACCCAAATTGAAGCAGTGTCTTTTCATCAAGGCCATGCATGTTTCCTAACTTTTGTTTTTGCAAATAATAATCAAACCTAAATCGCAAATGTCCCCACCAACAAATATCCATCAATAGTCCCTACGCTGCCTTCCTTTAAAACTGACTCATAAGGAAAAAGATACTGCTCCCAGAAGGATTGGTACCTACATGAAATTAAAGACTCTGTACAAGATGTCACATTATTCCTCCCCACCAAGTAATCGTTCAATAAATAAATGAATATGTGCCACTGTGTAAAGACATTCTGTTTGCAGTTTTGAGCCCGCTTGTTTTCATGAGACACTAAACAGGGATTCTTGTAGTGAAATAAAATGATGATAGATTTGTTAATAATTGAGAGCTGCCAAACTATCCATCTCTAATCCCTTAAGGTATGTTTTTCTTGGTGTAATGTGCTCAAAACCAGACAAACAAGACGACTTTACAACCATGACAAGTATTCTAACTTATGCTGGAAGGGATTTCAACAAGTCAGTAGAAAAATAAACATTGTCCCCAACAGTACATAAAGAAGCAGTCAACAAATAAATTAATTCCAGTCAATAAACCGCTTTCTTTTTTTTTTTTTTGTTCCTCTTAAAAGTTGCTCACACAATCATCAAAGTGAGAGGAGAGGGTGCTCCCCAATGGAGAACAAAAAAAGATGAAATCTGCGGTTGTGTGTTGTTTATAAAGTTCATCAAGTGAGCCACGCACAGAAAGTCTTCACTGTCTGCTTAACGTCCTCGCTGGAAAACACGCATTCTTTCTCAGGTGAAAGACAGAAAAAGAAAGAAACTAATGGCAACATGCTTCCTCAAACATCATTAGAATCACTATCACACTGCAGGCAGCTGCTTCACAGTAATCTCAATGAGCAGGAAGACACTGATCTATTCGGCTCAAGTCTTCAATCCCAGTCTTCTGTTCTATTCCCTGATTGGCTGATTGAGCGGCACACAGGCTGTAATTTCATCCCGTGAACTCGGACCTTCTACGGTCCGTCTTTGTTTCCCTCACTGATGGACTCGCCGGATAAAACACTCTTGCTCTGTTTAAAACACAAACGTTCCTCCATTTCATTTGCCTTTGTGTAGTGGTAAAAAAAAAAAAAAAAACTAAATCCAGGCCTGAATCGTAAGCTTAAAAGGGACTGAGAGGTGTAAAAAAATAAAGAAATCATACTGTACTAGAACAGCTGTGACTGTGATTGAGAGGCGATTTTTATATACTTCGACTATTTACATCTATACGACAGAGCTGACACTGGTCTGTTGGGAAGCCAATGTGTTGTCTGTCTATTGCTGGTTACAATTTAGATATTTGTGTGTGTGTGTGTGTGTATGTGTTTGTGTGTGCGTGCGTGTCGTGGTGGAGCCAGCAGTGAATCCGTTTTCAACAGCATCCTCGCACACGTTTGAAAGACTCGTTTGTTTCATAAGAAAGACTCTCTCCCATGTGGACCGCGAGGAGACATCAAAAACTAACGCTCATGTACTGCCATGTGTCTTCCCAGTACATTCAAATAGTGATTAGCATCCTCGACTACGTATGTCTATGGAAAAAGAAGCAGCTGAGGGTTTGTGTTGTCAAGTGGCTCGGTTTTGGTTGTCAGAGTGGGAACTGGGTAATGTCAACAGTCCAAAGGCAACCTCTGATCTGTTGGATTGCATCAGTGCAAAAGAGAATCGCTTATGCAGCTTTGTCTTTATTTCTCCGTCATGAAACTCACCGCAGGCCCACTGTTGCCCCACCTGGGATACTATGGTTCAGTGCAAAGTCTATACAGTGCAGTATAGTACAGGTACTCCATAGTGCTCTGAAGAAACATGCATACAGAGAGACAGTAGGAAGCACACTATCTTACAGTACAATCCTTATCTGTGCAGTTTAGTGTGTGCAGTCAGCAGGACAGGCCTGTCCCTGGGTTGTGCCTCGGGCATCTTGGTGCCACAAACATGATAGAAGTATTTATTTTGGAGGGTTCATCTGCATGTCACTGAAATGCTGACATTTTCTACTTTGAATTACACTTTGTTTGGGTTGCCAGTTTTTAAAGTATACTGTATGTGTTCGATGCAACAGGGACAATAATTTGATTAAGCACTATCTAATATGTTGAGTAACAGCTGTAAACAGAGTTGTTCTCCCGTTTGGAAAACTGTTATATCTTATCATACACTTATACATAGATTTGTTCTTTTTTTGCTTTTTTACAAAATTATTCTTATTATAATGTTTCATTATGATAGATTTTCATTATTACTATAAGCGATGACAGGGTCATGTTGCTTGTCGTCATAAAAAGCATGCATGTTTCCTTTCCCCTCCTCTTCATCTCAACGTGGTTTCATTTTCCTGGTGGAAATGTCTCAGTCAGTCAGTGCTCCCCTTCCTCCTGCTCCTCCTCCTCTTCAGTTTCTCCGTACTCACTCCTCCCTTCAATTATACCTTTGGGGTGTAAGGCTTACAAATAAAATAGGTGTCCTTTGTTGCATCAGCTCCTCTCTCATTGTGAGTCCATCTCCAAATCTAACTCTCACCAATTCATCTCGCAACCAAAAAGTTGTGTTTTTGATACCTGAAAAGTAACAGATTAATAGATATATATTGTATTATTACGCTCATTCCTCGCTGACTCTCCGGTCAGTTTGTAATAAGTTGTCTATTGACATCCAAGTACTCAGTTGGTTGCCATGGAAGAGGCAGGACCCTGCCCCTCCGCCTCTTCCTTATCCTCTAGTGTCTGAAGGAGGCTGGAGGTGACATCGGAGGACTTCCGCTCTGTGATTGGCTCTGCCGGCGGTTGCCCCGGACTACTGCCACCAGAGGCGTCCCCTTGTTGCGTGGGCGGAGTCAACGAGGTGAACTCTGGCTCCATGCACAGTGTTATCTCATCCTCCTGATCAGGACAGACAGAGACACACAGAAGGATCAGTAAACATTACTAGTCAACCATCGCAATATAGGTAAGGGTACATACTGGTGAGTCTGCATGTTTTATCCCATTAACCACAATTTTTATATTATTTACATTATTGCCAACTGACTTCCAAAGGTTTATCGACTTCTTCATCTTTCAGGCAACCAGCAGAGTATGAGGATCAACTGGGAAAGACTTCCCAGATTTGCTTGAAATGGTTAATCCATCACAGTTGATATTTAGTTGATTATGATGGAAATGCATTGGCCATTATTGTTGGTTTGTAAACTGTTTCTTGTTGTTGCTCAAAGGAAGCTTCAGCATCCACGATGTCTGAGCCGGCTTTATGCATTTCCATAAAGTTGGAGGAAAGAGATAAAAAAAACAGAACGGTCAATCGTCACAATCACAGTCGAAGCCACAGAGTACAGGTCAAGCTCCAAAAACAGGATCCTACAACATCCACAATGCAACTCGATAATCTTAAATGCCAACTTTTTTCAAAGCCCACCCCTGCAGTCTGTAAAAGGCTTTCTGGTAAAAAAATTCTATTATTTTTCTGTGCTTTGGAAAGCTCCCTTTAACACCACATAAAACATTGTCCAACTGTTATGCAATAGTCTCTGCTATATGCAACAATACATCACTTTTTACAAGATGACGTATTGTTCACTTACTGCTGTAACTAATGTCACGTCAGCACTGGTTCATACCACACAACCAGGAATTGAACCCAACCTATATCCATAGATGATTGGTAATAAATCTGAAAAACTTATGGAATCATTTGAAAAATAATAAATGATTCATGATTTGTAGTTAATAGAATATATGGTATTTTACAGTGCTTTGGCACTTCACAGATGAAATATTAGACACTGAGAATGTAATTATATGTAATCAAATCCCCCCCCACCTCACCTTTATCTCCTCCTCCTCCTCCTGCTGCTCCAGTAGCGGAGAGTGCTCTGTTCCCATATCTTCTGTGGAGGGAACACAGAGGCTCGGCTCCACGACCGCCGCCACGCCGATGTAGCCTCCGGCGTCCGTCTGATAGGCCTCCATCTGCCCCGTGTTCCACAGATCGACCAACGGTGGGTGAGCCGAATGGATCAGGCTGTGGATGGTGCTGTTGGGCGTCGCTTGCAAAGACTGGTTGGCACTGTGCAGCCTGTGCTCCAGCGACTACAAACAGGGTGAGGAGGAAGAGTTAGAGGCAGGGCTGAGATCTGAGTCCGTCCACGACACTGCCATGTCAGAGGTGACGCATCAAGCAGTTTGACAAAAATGCACAAAGCCTCATGTCGGCAGCCAATAAAATAGTTTTTGATGGCAACAGAAGTACAGGCCTTCCTCTTTCTCACTATAAAAGGGATCAATACTGCTTTTGTTTGTGCACAGAGATTCAGGTTTATTATTCTTTATTTATTATATCCAACTTGCTGTAAAGCAACAACTAGTGTTTCTGATGGTTGTATCATATATTTATGACCAAATTACATTCTCCTTTCCATGAATCTTATTATTGATTTAGAGTAACATATCAGTTCCTTTCTAGGGAAGTATAGGAAACTATGGACCTATAAAGTAAAGTGTTTTATAAGCTGAAATAAATCAAGAAACTTAAAAAAAACACTGTGAAAAACTAAATCAAGAGTGTTGTGTTTCCAAGGTCAAGAATTCATTTCCCCCACTCAACATAAAAAAACAACATTGTGACTGATCCTAGTTGGTATTCTAGCTTCATAAATATGGGAGTTACAGAGTGGCAAAGAATATCATGTGTTGCAACGTGAAAATAACTCAAACTTGAGCTTCAAGGGTTTTAAGCGACAGCACTATTTTGACACACTTCTGAAATGACACAACCTCCTGACTCGTAAGGACTGCTCATGATGTTTGTGCTTCATGTCCAAAAGTAAACATGCTCACATCTACATTTCAACCCCATCTATTGTCTCTCATGTGTCACACCCAGAGAAGTGAGACTCCACCTGTTGTTGCTGATACTGCAGGAGCTGCTGTTGCTGGTAGTGCTGGATCTGTTGGATCTGCTGCAGCTGTTGTAGTTGATTCTGCTGCTGGAGAGTGAACTGCTGCTGCTGCTGCTGCTGTTGCTGCGACAGGAAGCAAGCCGCTGCCTGCCCATCATACCCATCGGTCCCCACAACATAGGAGCCAGTAGGGGGAGTCGTCATGACGGACGGATCGTTGGTGATCGGCTCCCAGGCATCGGAGGAGGAGAGGCAGTAGTGGCCCTGGGAGACGTATGTGTGAGGCCACACCTCTGCTGAGGAGTGATGCAATATCTGATCTGGAAGAAATGGAGAAGGCATCAGCTGCTATTGGAGGTACTGGTTGTTATATGTTACATTTTACATGTTTTGGTCACATTTTAGTCGCAAGAAGCACAATAGAGAGAATCACCCTGATCATAATGATCTTCATAATATCCGCAAATATAAAACCAGGGAAATCCTGATGTCACGCTGATTTTTTGTTTTAAACTCCAAATTGGCCTGGTAAAGCATCAGCATTTTATTTTAAATGAAGTTGCTAAATGACCAACTTATGTTGGGAAATAGGATTTCAGCTGCTATCATACAATTAAGAAGAGTTGGAAGCACAGCAGAATAAATCCGTTTGCATTTTGGCTTTGATCTGGCCTGCTGAGCAGAATAAGGAGGTTTGACTGGCAGCTAAACAAAAGAACTCACTTACCGCAGAGAAAATATCCACGTTGGCTGAGTAAGTGTTATGACAGCAGCTAGATCTACCGAATACAGTTTGAACACTGGCACACCTCACTGTTGATTCATCACTTGTGTCAAGCTGTGTAATGCAGTCGCAACCTTGATTTGGTGCCGTTTATCTTTTTCTCAAGAGGAAGTGTATGAATAGGGCCTCGCGGGAAAACACAGACACACATTTGAACCCTGTGCTAAGAGTAAAAAAAAATATCTGATGAATTGATGCAGATCTATTAATCAAGCATCATATCCTTATGGAGATTTATCTACTCTAATACACGCTCATTATACTCGTCTGCATCTCTAACTTCATGAGAAGAAGTTTGCAGTGGAAGTGCTGTGGAATAAAAATTGTTAGTTATACCTTTTACATTCCAACAGCCCATGTTGGAAATGTGAAATTAATAACGAGCTTCCTTTCCAACCTGGGAAGAGGAGATGGAACAGTATGTTCTCATTACTTAGCAACTTGACACATGCTTTACTGCAAGCTGCTTATCTGCACCCACACAGGCCTTCACAGCTGTTTTAACGCTGCCTGGACGTGTTTTATAAAATATATATTAAATAAATACCTTTCCACATTATTTCACTCAATGTATACAAACTATAATGTATGCCTGTGTTGGAAAAGTACATTTACTCAGGCACTATACCTATAAGTACAGTTCTGAGTTACTTGTACTTTTTATGTTACTTTATACTTCTTCATTCAAATTTAGATATTACAATTTTTACTTCACTACATTTATTGGACATATACTAAGGTCAAGATACAAAATAGGTGACAAAATATGATGCACTGTTTTATATTCAACAAACCAACAATACCAAAAGTAGAAAAGATGATCATTATTTCCACCAGCTACACATTAATTCCTGCATACACAGTACTTCCTAAGCAATTAAAATGTAACACTGACAGGGGGCATTCTGCTGCACAATGACCACGTTGAACTGTACACTTTGATAATGATACTGTTTTACTTTTAATTGATTATTTTTTAGAATCACTTAATTAACTGATACTTCTCTTAGTAGGCTGCTTTTTTTAAATACAATTTAGCTTATGTATATAGCAATGTATAGATTGTTCTGCAACAAAAGCCACTTCGATTTTCAGCTGCAGTTATATTTGTAGTTCTTTGTAGTCCTTTACCTCGACTGTTGATGCTCTCCTGGTTAAGCTCACTCAGATGAGCCATACTGCCCTGGTTTGAGCCCGACCGCGTGCTCTCTCCATCCATCGATGTCCAGGCCAGGAGTGTCGCCTCCGAGACCGCAAACTGCTTCAGGATACCTGAGGTCATGATTCAAAGGAGAAGCCAGGATCATTGTGAGGACCTGCATTATATTACGTCAGCTGAATAATTGGCATACATCCGACAAAGTGAGATTAGAAACACATCATTCTGCAGATGACGGTTTACGAGGCTCTGTGGAGCGTCTGTCCTCTGTGCTTCCAACCTGCAGTGAAACGAGCCTCCTTCTCTCCTTCACTGAGGTCACTGTAGGCGTCGCTCTCCATCCGCCGCTCCTTCTCCCGCTCCTGGGTGGTGATGCGGGGCAGGGGGACGCCCCCTGGACCCACCGTGGTCATGCTCCAGTTTTGCCATTCAATCATGTGAGCGACGCGACCATGGGCCAAGGCTGTGGGCTTGGTCACTCTCTCCTTCATGGTGCGGCTCACTCCTGGTGGCGCAGAAGACATGGGAGTCAGAGGAGGATGAGGATCGCAAGAGTTTGAAGTGAGAGATGAGAGATTAATGAGGGAGAGGGAAGTGAAGCAGCAGGTTTGTTGTTTTGGAGGTAAAGTGGTGGATGGACCAAGAGAATGAAAGGGGAGGGACAGACATAAGATATGTTATCAAGTATGTTCTTGTTGTTTGGTCGTGGATGCTGCGGATATCCACGACCAAACAACAAGAACTATGGATATCCAGTGGATATCCAGTAGACTAAACTGGTGTGGGAGGATGAAATTGGACAGTTTATCTAATTATGTCTTTACTGTTTGATTGATAATTACCATAGAGGCTGATTAGAAATGGTTAAACTATATATATATATATATGTATGATTATAGTTCTGTCCCATGTTATTATATCATGAGAATAAGAATATGATTAACCGAATCCCTCTATGATGTTTGGGGAACAGAAACGGTCAATTAAAAGAAATATTGTCTGCTCCAACAAAGATAAACCAATATAGAAACACACTGTCAGTCCAATCCTACTTCTGAAATGCCTGTAGTTTAATGAGGGTCTTCATGCACATTGATCTTAAGAACAGCTAAATGATGAAGGGTTGCGTGGGTGACATTCATGTGTTTAATGAGACTCAGCCCTTTCCTGTATGTGCTACAAGGAGGAGAGGAGGGAATTGATGTGTCCTGTCTGACAAAGGTGCATCATGAGATGGAATAGGTTAATTGGGGTGAGGTGGTTGTGTGGCATACGTAATGAGAGGTTGGCTTGTTGACATAATAGCTTTTACACCTCTGCTAAGCTGCGCTGGGTAAGCAGAAAACTGTTCTCTTTCTCCTCGCTGTCTGTTTGAGAACTTGACTCATGCAAACCCTGCAGAACATCTTTTGAAGATGAAATTCATTTCCTGCCACGCTGACACCAGCTGATAACAGCATAATGGCTGTGCTCCATATTCCATGTGACCAACACACGATGACACGTACTGTAAATCCCTGGTTGTCTGATTCTCTCTGATAGTGGCGAATGGAGATGAGATTCATGAATAAATTGAATAAATGATGGGACAAATCTGTACAACACCACACGGTACGGCAGCTGCACTGCACTTCACTGCACTGTAATACATTTCACTGCACTCAAATAAACTGCACTGCACAAAACAGCTGGATTAAACCAAAAACTTTGCACTAGACTGCACTAAACTGTTCAACACAGCACTTTACACGGTTCACGACATCCATACTAATTCAGGACAACACAGTTTCACAACCAGAGCAACAAGCTGTATGATGATGCACTGTCTGTCTGTCTGTCTGTGTGTGTGTGTGTGTGTGTGTGTGTGTGTGTTGTGTTTTCAAGTATAATTCATTACATCAATGACTGAGAAGGAGCCATTGACGAGTGTTATCACAGTGAGGAGAGGAAGTGATAGAGGGGAACCCGTTTCGGGTACCATGCTGACTCAAGCGCCCGCTGAGGGCCGAGCCAACATGGGGTCGGTTTACCAGTTACAGCACAGACACACACCTGACACACCTGACAGAGACGACTTAGCCAGAGCCCCGATGCCGTAGGCATTTGAGTTCCTCTTGAGCCGAGGCAGGATTGACGTGGTGTCTTCCATAGACAGCTAGAGGGAGAGAAGAGAGAGGAATGGAGGAGGGGAAAAGAGCGTGGAGAAAGGAATAGTATGGGAAGTGTGACAGTGCACACCAAGACATCGAGACAGTGTGTGTTAGAGAGGGGTGAGTGGAGACAAGTGATGGAGTTGTTGGGTTAATACAAAAGATAAAAATGCATTACCCAAATCCTAATTCCAAGTTAACTGTGTACTTTTGTATTCTGCACCAATAAGTCATTCTGCTTGTGCTGACTACCGTGCACCACTAGAATAATCCGTAAATGTAAGGCCGAGGTGGAGGGGGGTCGTGAGGAGGAAAAAGCTCATGACTAAAGGGTGAGTTAAATCAAAACAGGTGAAAGAAACAAATAGATAGAGGGAGAAAAGTAGTAGATGAAGGAATGGTGTCACAACACTTACATTGATTCCTTCCCATGAAAATTCTGAACGTCCATGCTGAGGAAGAGAAATAGGAAGAGGGAGGGATGGGGAAAGAAGGAGTGGGAAAGAGTAAGAGAGTGACAGGACAGAGAGAGCATTGACATGCATGGAAGGGAAATGGGAGAAGACGAAGAGAGGATGGAAAGGAGAGGGATTGCTCATCGGACATGCAGAAGAAGAGAAATTAAGAGACATGAGAGGGGATGAAGAGAGACAGATACACAGGATTTTCCAGGAACGAAGAAGGCAAGAGTGAAGGACCGGAATGACAGGGAGAAGGAGGGAGGGGGGGGGAATTAAACAGGGATCAGTATATTTGCTTGGTTATGTATAGCAGAGTGAATACGCTACGGATGAATGAGTCTCCTCTCTGGTAACGTGTGCTGCCAAAAACACTGAAAGCCAGCGCAAAATCGAGTGAGATGTCAGTGCTGTGTCGAACGGTATCTGATGATGCAGACATACAGGGGACTGGGGCTATCAGGAGGAAGTGGAGGGTGTGTGTGTGTGTGTGTGTGTGTGTGTGTGTGTGTGTGTGTGTGTGTGTGTGTGTGTGTGTGTGTTTGTGTGTGTAAGAGAAAGAGAGAGCGGAGAGGGCAGATGCTGGGAACAAAGCAGATAAGCAACAGCCTCTGCCACACCATTCCTCTCAATCACTAACTGGACTGGGGACGCTGGTGGGTTGGTGGTTGTGCTCAAATGTCTTCACCTTCCTGTCGATCTGCACAGTCGAGGCAGAGCAGAAATAAATTAGTAAATAAACAATATGGGGGAAAAAATGTTGACCCCAACATTCATCACACATAAATCCTCTCAAACTGTATTTTTCTTAGAATTGAATTAATTTTTCCCAGCAGTGTCTCCATTTTTATACATTTGAAACATTGCAAAGTAAACAGCAGTGATGGAAGAAGTACTCGGATCCTTTACTCAAAGGAATACTTTTAATGCTTAGAATTGGATGATGTATCACTCTCTTTTGTATGGTAAATAAGCTGGAACCAGCAGCTGGTTAGCTTAGCTCAGCACAAACACTGGAAACAGGGGGAAACAGCTAGCCTAACTCTGTCCAAAGGTAACAACATCCGCCTCCCATCACCTCCAAAGCTCTCTAATTAACCTTCTTCCTGTTTTGCCCTACATTAAATAATAAAAATGATAAACTGCACATTAATTAGTTAGCTTTAGGTGTGCTGTTATGGATGAAGCCAGGCTATTACCCTCTGTTTCCAGTCTTTATACTAAGCTAAGTGGTATCAATCTTCTTATGTAACTGTCTGCAAGAAAGGGAATGAGCATACTTCCCAAAATGTCAAACTTTTACTCTGAGCTTTAACATTGGGTTTGGGCCTTCCCTCCCTACCCTGCCTCAAAACAATGCTTGAATAAATAGGCTACTTTGTTACTAACCGCTGGTCAACAGGCTGTTAACTGTAAAGAACAGGTTATTTAACGCTGAATGTCATAATGAGAGAGTGACCACCGGCGCGGTGTTTAACATCTCCATCATACAGCATATATCCAGATAACTCATGTTCATCGATATCAGCCTCTTCCTGTTCTTTTCTTCAATCCTTTCACTTTGTAATTCTATTGTTGCTCCCACTTCTTGGTTCTTTGACTCTCCCTCTTTCTTTCTTCCTCTCTCTCCACGGGAGTGGGTCTGACGAGAGATTTAACACACTTGAGTAGTAGAGCTGGGCCTCTTGAAGCAGCTTTTCCTGTTACTTCCAATAGCCCCGACAACACGGATGTGTGTGTGTGTGCGTGTGTGTGGTTGTTTTTTTCCTCTCCGTAGGACTGAAGGGCATTCTGGGGCACGATGCATAAATAAAGGATGGAATCTGTCCACGGTGCATTTGGTGAAAAAGTAGAGTTCTCTACATGTTCCTCCAAAATGGTTCCCTCTCTTGTGTCCTGTCTCACAGGGATCCGTTTTAGAGCAGAGGATCAGTAAAGCAGCAGGAGAGGAGACGAAATGAGTGAAAATGAGAAGAGAGGCAAAAGGATATAGTAATGGTGTGTAAGAATTTGGAGAAACAGAGAGTGATGTGTTTCTTGTTTTGCTTTGAACCAGCACTGAGCAGGGACTCTGTCAGATGGAAATCAAGCCACGGACATCATAGCAACAGCAATATGCCAACCGAACCAGTATTGTTCAGTCTTCCAGTTACGCCACCCCATCAAATGGGCGGGGAGGTGAAGTGGAAGTTAAGCGACTGACATTGAAATGATGCATGTGCTACTTTACTAATCTACGAGCATAAGCACTGGCACCTTGAGTGACAGAGAGTTAGTGAGTTGAGCTGCTGCAGCTCCTCATGTAGCAGCTTAAGTCCACAGCCATGTTGGTTCCTCAGGTGGTGAGGAAACAGTCAGAGGAAGTCCACCAGAGGGGTGAGCCAGAAGGACTACTGAGGTCTTACCTGCTCCCCATCCTTCTGGACTGGCACGCCATCTCCCGCTGACAACAGGGTAGAGGAAGAGAGAGACAAGAGAGAAGGAAAATTAATTTAACTCAAATGTTGACTAGCCTAGCATTCCTACCATTTATGAAGCTTTGGCTAAAGTTCAACAAGGAATATCTTGTCTCTGACGTTCTGCCTTTATTGGGTGAATCAGCTCTGGCATCCTTCCTTTCCCACAATGCCAAAGTTCCTGCATTCACAATTACCCCCCCCCCCCCCCCTTTATTTTGAAAAAAATATATACTGTTTTTTTATTTAAATAATTAAATAAAAACACCAACATAATCGTTTAATATCGCTTCCATGAAATCTAGCAGGTTACCAAACTTTTTAAAACAAATATTTCTTAAATTATACTGCTTTTTTTTAATAAGGAACAGATGATAACAACTGATAAAACCCCATTGATACAGAGGGGGGATCGCTGTCTTTCCAACAGCGATCCCCTTTCCTTTGTTTACTCCCCAGAGTAAATGTGTGATCAAGGTTTCCGCAACATTTTTTTTCCAAAGGAAACAAATGAATGCCACCATATGCATAAAATTCCCCACTTCTAATTTATATCTGGGACATACTTGAGAGTACTTAAAGTTCATCAAATGAATGGTGTCAAATATATGAACCAATTTAAATTGTAATTGAACAAAAGTGTTTGCCTTGTAACACATTCTGTCCCACAGTCCTCATAGTAAATAAATAAAAATCTTCCTCCGACTTCATACATGAGTTAACTTCATCGTGACGAAAAATCGAATTGGTTTAAATGTGAGAGATCAACAAAGTCGTTCCTTAAAGTCTCTCTTTAATGAAATTCCTCTACATGTAAATCACACCTGCATCTCAGTTAATAATGCACTGCAAGGAGTCAGTGGCAGATCAAACACACTGCCATCCACCAGCACACTGCAGATGGGAGTCGTCTGAAATAGACGCTCTCTTTGGATGAATGGACGTTATTATCCCTCCTCTTTCCTGGCTGTCCAAATCCTAATTAAAACATTGGTTTAATTAGCGAGACGGTACTGGTAATGGAGTTTAAACACAGAGTCAGTCTCTAGGTGCCTGCTCTCTGTATCAGAGGGTCTGCGTGTGCAACTCTCAGAGGGGCTCTCTCCTGTGTCAGCACTCTGTGTCTCCCTGTGTGTGTGTGTGTGTGTGTGTGTGTGTGTGTGTGTGTGTGTGTGT